TATGAGCAACTTCGATTTCACAAATCGTAAAAATTATCACTTTTTTTTGTAATTCCTCACTTTGTTATTCAACAGTAATACAATATCTTTATTTGTTAACTCGCGGTATTATTATCTCATTTGCGACTTCACACTCTAATATCACTCAGCAATAATACTGAGAATGATATTGCTGAATGATACTATTTTTCACTCAGCAAGTTTCACAATGGATCCACATGGTGCAAAAATACTTTTTTTCTTGTAAATTTATTTTGAATTTTAGATAATTTCAAAATAATATATTATATACATTAAAACAAATACGATTTTAGTAAAATTTGTCTCAAACTTACCCTATTGACGTTTGTAAATGAAATCATTGCTAAAAAAATCACATGTAAAAATGAGATCATAAATTTTTTTTTGCAAACAAGCTAATAAAGGAACTTAATTTTACTTAATTACAATAAATGAAATTGAGTGAAAATTAATTTATAATTAATTACATCATATATACATAAAACATTTAAATAAAAATTTATACACTTACTAATTATATAAATATAAATATATATATATATAGATCAATTACAACATAAATTCTTAATCACCCAAATGCTTCATCAATTCTTTTCTTAATCTCAAGTGGGTTGGCACCAACAAGCTTGTCAACTTGACTCCCTTCCTTCATCAACACAAATGTTGGCATGGCCTTTATCTCCATCTTTGATGCCACCTCCTAATTAATTATTCTTAATCAATTGTATTAAATCCTACAAATATAATTATATATTTACCCGTATAATTAATTAGTTTGTATATGATTCGATATGTATATACACATTGAAAGAATGAGAATAATTCATATTTAACACATAAATTAAAGTAGGATAATCTACGAGGGACATGAACATTTTTTATAATTAGAATAATTATTAGTTGGGGTTTATGTGGATAAGATTTAGCCTTGATTTTTATAATACATACACCCATGGAATATATGTATTTGTGTGTCTCCATATGAGAATAAAAAAAGACCCATGTGACATAACCAGCTTATAGAGAAACTACAAATTAAAATATTTTAATTTTGACTTAAGGTGCATAAAAATTAAATTTAATAATAAAGAGAAAATACCCATGGAGACAAATTATGTAATCCCCCCCAAATTAATTACTTATTTATTAAATTTAAGAAAATAATAATAATGATATAATAAATTATGATCGTACGAGTAAATAAATTTTCATTAATGGCTAAATATATCAATATATATATATATATATAAAATACCGAAAATTGATACATAATAATTTTATATTTAATATGATAACACATATAATAATTATCTATTTATTTTTATAACATAGAAATAATTTTAAATATATTAAAATAAAATTAATATGATGAGATGAGTAATAATCATCCATAAAAATAAAATTTAAATATAATCAGATTTCCATATTATTTATTACAAATTCTAAAATAATAGCAGATTTTTTTCGCTAAAAATTAAATCGTAATAACTTTTTATATATTTTTTTTTATTAATTTTTTATTTCTATGTAAATTTATTTACATGAGATAATATTTTATATAAATATAAAAATTATATTTTATGCATAATACATTATAGTTATATGTTACCTTAATTTCGTCGACATCAACAAGGAGAAACAAAATATTTTTGTAGGTCAAAGCCAGTTCTTCAAAGAAAGGATTCATGGCGACCGAAGGCCTGCACCATGATGCTGTAAAATGCACCACAACCTGCGATTTCAACCTTTTAATTCTTTATTTACGTCTACAAACTCTTAGTACTAATTAAAAAAAAAAATTATAAATACTGACGTTGACTAAATAAATATTTTTTAAATACCAAAATTAATAATCTATAAATTATATATATTTTTTTAAAAAATACGAGAAATAAAGTAAATAGAAAAAGGAAGAAGAAGAAGAAGAAGAAGAAGAGTTACAGAGGATGTTTGAGTGACGAAGGAATCCCAAGATTGTGCAGAGGCTACTTTGAAAACTCTCGACTTCATTTTCTGTCTTTCCATTCCCTCTTCTTGCCATCTACTTCCTTTGTTGATTTGTTTTTATAGAGGGTTTTTGGTTTACATGGTGATTGATATTAATATTTATCTGCTTATATATATATATATATATATTATCTCAACTGGGATTGGAATGATTGGAATTATATGGCCCAGTTTTTGGTGGCAGACTATTATTACATATCTTGAAAAGAGTTTTGCATTATCCAAATCTATGGTTGCCACGTACAATCATGAATATATCAATTTCATCTTATTCACTCTGCAAATATCACTTTATAAATATCTTGAACTCTATTACAAAAATTACGACTTTAAACTTTAGTAAAAATTTTAAATTTTTTATTTTATAAATTTATTATAAACTTACGAATCATAATATTTGATTTAATAAATTTAATATTTAATTTATTAATAAAATTATAAAAATATAAAATTTATTATTTTATATATGTATTATAAACTATCGGGGTGCCACGGGTAGGAACCAGGAGACAAAAGAAACAAGTTCAAAATGATCATATTGCCCTCAATAAGGATAAACCCTTTTGCTGGTGGCATCCTAGACTTCTCCTTCTCTTATCTTTCTCCTCTTATCTCTTCTTCACTCACTTTCCACTGCAAAAACCAATGGCTCATTTAGCTAATGTAAATGGTGTCTCAGACACCTTATTAAAGTTCCCAACCATTCAAAGAATCCCTAGAATATTGAAAACAAATGGAGTTGTCTGCAACGGAACAGATGAATCTCAGCAAGTACAAATCACAAGGAGGGTGGCCATAGGCCTTGCCTCATCCTCCATACCTCTTCTTGCCAATTCCATCAACAATGTCTCTCTTGCACAAGACAATGCTTACTGGACCACTGATCTTTTACGTATTCCTCCTGTACACAACAGTAAGCAATTTCATTCAAGCAAACTTAAACAATGTTGCTGTTCCATTAAGCAAACTTCTTGTTGATTACAGATATCGCAAACGAGAAGACGGGAACCCGTTCTTTCTTGAAGAAAGGAGTTTACATAGCTGATATTGGAACAAAAGGAAGAACATACAGGATAAAGAAATATGCATTTGATCTATTAGCCATGGCAGATTTGATTCGACCTGATACATTGAATTATGTTAGGAAGTACTTAAGACTCAAGTCCACTTTCATGTACTACGATTTCGACAGCCTCATCTCTGCAGCACCAGTCAATGATAAACAGCCTCTCACCGATTTGGCCAACAGACTGTTCAACAATTTTGAACAGGTAAAAATTTCTTGGCAATAAGTACCCACTATTATATAACTGATTCAGTGGAAGTTCAACTGGAAATGTTCAGAAATATATTATGTATTAACAGCTTGAAGATGCTGCAAAGATGCAGAACCTGTCACAAACAGAATCATACTATAAAGACACAACAGTTCTTCTCCAAGAGGTCATGAATAGAATGGCATAAATCTGGCTGATTGCCACATTCAATCATCAGGGTATGTTGCTGTTAACTACATTCGCCATTTGTTATAATTCAAAGTTGTAATCTCAAATCTGCTTTCGATTTCAAGGTCCAATTCAATTATAGAGACTAGAAGAGACAACCAGATGCATAGACATTTATGATATACCATTAGAATATGACAAGGGAGACAAAAACCCTCATATATTAAGTGACTCA